AATTATTTAACAATTTAAATATTGTTTAAATAAAATATTAAATATTTAAGTGTCTCGTGACAATATTTGCTTAGGTGGCTTTAGAGAATGAATCTCAAACTCACGAGTGGATTCTCTCTCAATATGTGTACGGTGGAATCTCAATCACATAATTAAATTAGGTAAAATTACATGATAGTTGATAAGCTATCTGATAGTAAGGAACTGATAACTAAGAGCTGATAGCTTATAGACAATTATTTATAGGTGATAAGATAAGTTGAGTGTTTGATAAATTACCAATTACACTAATTGATAAATACAAAATGACATAAAAGAACATTTTTAATTAAAAAAAAATTATAATCTTAATCATTAAATTAATTTTTATTCAATAAAAATAACTGTATTAACAATCAAATACAAAATATTTTAAATATAAATATAAAATTAAACATAACACAAAAATATATTAAATAATTATATATAAATTTTATAATAAAATTTAAATATCTAAAATAATAATAATAATAATATAATTTAATCTTATATTTCAATAAAGTGCATACTTTAAAAAAAATCTATGATATGCGTACTAATAAACAATATAATATATCAATAATAAATAAATCAAGTAATAAATAATTAAAGTAATAATTTAAAAATTAAAAAAAAACAATTTAATGTAATCAATCAAAATATTTCATTAATAAAAAATGGAAGATGGGTTGCATCGTGAATTTGTACTGTAGAAATAATAACTAACATTTTTTTATTCCCTCAATAAAAACACAATTATTTTAATTTAAATTAAAATAATATAAAAGATAAAAATGAATTATTGATAAAATAGTGAAGATATAAATGAAAAAAAAATCATAAAGTAAAAACTATAAGCTTAAAATTACTTCAAATAATTTTTAAATAAAAAGTTAAAAGTTAGTAGAAAAATTACAAACTAAAATTAAAAGATAGTTATTAAACAAAACTTTTTTATTAATATAAACTAAAAATCTAAAAACTCTTTTTTTTATCTTATCAGACACTAAAATATAAAAATATGAAATTGGACACTATTCCCCCTCCAATTTGGTCCTCGTTTGGATTATACTTGTTGAACTATGCATGCATAACACACTACATATAGTAACTAAATCCATATCGTGATTAGGACAATTAGGTCGTTAATTGTTCTTTTTAACTTGGAAGTCCGTGACTGTGAGATTAGAAAACAAACAAACAGATAACATTCTGTTGGTGTGCTCAGCGTGTAATTTAACTTTTTATTTCAATTCCTTTTAGATGCATATGACATTTAATTAGCAAAATTTATTTTTTAAATCATGAGTCAAAATTCATCTTTATCATCTTCATATTCACATTGATTATTCAAATTCAAAAGAAATCAATTTCAATCAATCTTTTTTAATAAATAAAAAATCGTCTCAAAATCAAAAATATTTACTCAGAACTAAAACTAATATTAAAACACAAAATCAATCACTAAAATATTTAGGAATTACATCAGAAACCAATTCCTTATCAAATTCATAAATTCAAGAAATTGGTAAGTTTTTAGTAGCCAAATTAGAATTATGAAATTTTTAGTGGTCAATAATAGAGATCAAATTTAAAAGTTTTTATAAGTGTGGGTCGATTCACGAATCCGTTGATTCAATTAAAATAATTTATAAATTATTTAAGTCTATTCATTTACGGATATACCTAATCCAATCCATAACAATTCGAATAATCATAATTTTTTTTTAAAATTATTTTTCAATAATACTATTAGACCAATCAATTTTGTTCTTTATTTTCTTTTGTATCATTTTCAACTAATATATTTTATGAAAATAACGTGTCTGATTACTATTATCAAGTGTTATATCGTGTTGATGAATTTTACTAGATTATGAAGTGTTTCATTGAATTTGAATGTTATAAATAAGTATGATTGCATTAAGTTGTGTCACATTTTTAAAATAGACAAAAAGAATCATAAAAAAAAAAATTATTTGAAACACAACCCGCAAACTTAATTCATAAATGAACATGTCA